CCTGCCACTTCTGGTATATGGGGCCGGCGTCCTACTCCTTTGAGCCACAGGCACTGCCCAGAAAGGATATTTTTGATGCACAAGATTCCTGATTTTAACATAGCTAACTTAACAGCCTTTTTTGGAGTTTAAAATTTAACAGTCTTTGTTTTAAAACTTTTTGTGTCTTATGAAGTCCTTTCTCATCTATGATCAAAATAATGCCTTTCTTTTTTTTAATGTTTTAAGGTTATGGTCCTTACCCCCCCACCCCCCGGGACATGTATTGGTATCTACCAGTCCATGGCCTTTTGAGAACTGGGTGCACAGTGTCACCACATGAGCTCTGCCTCCTTCCCATCCCTCCAGCCCCCATTGTCTGTGAAAAAATTATCTTCCAGGAAATCGGTCCCTGGTGCCAAAAAGATTCTGGTCAGTGGACTGTTAGGAAGCAGGTCACACAGCAGTAGGTGAGCCAGCCAAATAAGGGAAACTTCATCTACAGTATATTTACAGTTGCTACACCGTCGGTCGCACCCTGCCTGAGCTCCGCTGTCCATGGAAAAATTGTCTTCCACAAAACTGTTCCCTCGTGTCAAATCTGTAACTCATCTTGAGTTGATTTTTGAGTATAGCATTAGGAGGAAATTAAAGTTGTTTTCCCTTGTAAATTCATTCATTCATTGGTCCTCCTTTTTTTCTCAGCTTCTGTGTGTGTGGGAGGGGCTGCTTTAGGCTTTCTATTTTATTTGATTTGTCTTTCTCTCTCTCTCTTTTTTTTTTTTTGGAGACAGAGTCTCCACTTTGTTGCCCTGTGTAGAGTACCATGGTGTCATTGCAGTTTACAGCAACCTCTTTCTTCTGGGCTTAGGTGATTGTCTTGCCTCAGACTGACAAATAGCTGGGACTACAGGCATGTGCTGCCACACTTGGCTAGTTTTTCTATTTTTAGTAGAGATGGAGTCTCACTCTTGCTCAGGCTCAGGTCTCAAACTCTTGAGCTCAAGCAATCCACCTGCCTCAGCCTCTCAGAATGCTAGGATTACAGGCATGAGGTACTGTGTCTGGCCTGATTTATCTATTTCTTCTCCCAGCAACACTCTCTTAATTATAATAGCTTTGTAATAACCTATGACTATTATATGTATATATATTTGCATTCTCTATAACTCTTTTAATAGTGTCTTCTTTTTTTTTTTTTTTTTTGGAGATAGTCTCACTATGTCACCCTGGGTAGAGTGCTGTAGCGTCATACAGGTCACAGCAACCTCAAGCTCTTGGGCTTAAGTGATTCTCTTGCCCCAGCCTCCCAGGTAGCTGGGACTACAGGCACCCACCACAACACCCGGCTATTTTTTGGTTGTAGTTGTCATTGTTTGGCAGCCCCAGGTTGGGTTCGAACCCACTAGCTCTGGTGTATGTGGCTGGCACCCTGGCCGCTGAGCTACAGGTGCCCAGCCATTAATAGTGTCTTTTGAAATATAAGTTTTAAATTTTGATCAAGTCCAATATATCTTCTCTTTTGTTGCTTATGTTTTTGGTGTCATATTTTGGAAACTGTTGCCAGATCCAAAATCATGAAGCTTTGCCTCTGTGTTTTCTTCTACGAGTTCTATAATTTTAAGTCTTAAATTTAGCTTTTTGACCCATTTTGAGTTAAGTTTTTTATTTTTATTTTTGAGACAGAGTCTCACTCTGTCACCCTGGGTAGAGTGCCATGGTATCATTGTAGCTCACAGTAACCTCAAACTCTTGAGCTCAAGTGATTCTCCTGCCTCAGCTTCCCAAATTAATGGAACTCACACAACACCCAGCTGGTTTTTCTACTTTTAGTAGAGACAAAGTCCCAC